TCCCGTCTATGAATGTATGCGAGTACTATACGTAGTAATTATATCGAAAATAATGCATAATATGTGTGTATACATGCTCTGCTACTGCTGGTGGTTGTTGAATAATAATGATTCCACTCGTACGGTCTGATAGTACTCGTTATTTTATTTATTTATTTATAGTTAATATTTTATTATAATTTTGATAATAATTATAAATTTAATACACGCCTTAATTGATATTTTATTTTCTAACCGATATATCAACCCACCAGGCGCATACTTTATGTCGGAAAAAATATGATTCCTGATTATTATACCATTTCAATATTTTGATTATTACCTATTATTATAATATACATATTCATGTTCAAATTTTAATTCTACATTTAAATATAAATAATGATTGTATATGATCATTATCTGTACTTACTGCTTGTAAAGTCGGAATCAATACGTACGTGAACTATTTATTGTATAAAATATTTAAATGGATTTTAAAAATTTAATTTTAAATATGAAATTTGTTTAGAATGCTTTCAACTGAAAAAAATTGACATTTTAATTTATTTCAACAGTGGTTTCTCGTTTGCATTCCGTCTGACAATCGACCGCAGGTAGGTAGGTATTAGTATGCATATGGCTTATATATATTTACCGCTATTCTCGATGTTATAACAGTAAAATGAATTTTCAGACAACTGACCAACGTAAATACATACCTCAAAGGGCTTTCGGAACGTCAAAAACTTCTAACATGAACCTTTCCGTTGACGGCTTCTAAACTGATTTTCATTTAAAAAACATAATTTAATTGACGTTCGATTTTTACATCCATTATACATAAAAACAATCCACACCGGTAATAAGCGAAATAATTTAAACCGATTGAACAAATCATATGTACTACTGTAATAATTGTAAACGTAAATCGATTCTGGTTATTGCTGACTTGGACAATCTTTTCCCGTTCGATACAAGGGCAGGTTTAAGGGGGTGGCTAAAGGAACATTAGGCCCCCCATTGGGGCTGAGATAACTATTTTACAATGCAAAGTATGTTTTCAGATTAAAATATACAACAATAATGTAACTATTTAAAATTTTTCACCATTGTGAAAAAAATGACATTACTTGTGAGGGAATCAAAAACATATTCTGTAATTTAAAATTGTATATAGATTTAAAAAACAACTAACTAAATTCTTGAACCTTCATTAGCCCCTCCCTTGGTGAGTGATAAGACCCGCCCCTGGTTTGCTATAGTATTTTGAACTGATCTGGTTTTTCGAAATGTCGCCCTCACGTCCCGTTGACATTTTCGTATCTTAAGGCTTATCACGAAAATCATCGCTGTTTCGCTTTAACCTTCTGCAACTGACCATGTAGCATCATTGTACCGGGTAGATACTGCACTGCACATGTATGTATTACGCAACAATACACTGTACCTGACGACGGTTTATATAGCGTTACGTGGCGACACTATCTATTGCAGTGCGAGCTCTATGAAATATTTCTTCCCCGAGAATCCCGAAATTACAAATTCTTTAGGAAAACGAGTCAGCCAGTTGACTTATTCGCTGTAGCTTTTATATACACTGCAACAATAATATTTATTGCGTCTTTTATTAGAAACGCCCGGATAAAGGTCGTCTTGACCTCCATAACCGTTGATGGTAGACCGTTTTTGTTAATCTTTATAAATGTTTCCGCGCGCGCGTTTTTATTTACCAGACCATTTTCACCGAAAATATATATATATATATACACATATACAAAGCACTATTGAAGAATATGCTCTCGTACAAACAGAATAAACTGCTAAATACATTGCATGGTATTTATTGTGGGCGTGTGTGTATTGAACGCCTTGATATTAGGAAATAATATGTATTATCCTATCTCGCTTGGTGTACTTCCTGGCATTGAATATGCAACACGGAAGAAAGTATATTTTCTTATCAATGTTAGTTTAGACAGGTGCACGTACGCCATAATAAATGATGATGCTCTTATAATAACGTAAAAAGTATTGCTTTCGAAATATTTTCATGGCAATATCATTAAAGTGTTTCGCATAGCTTGTTTAAAGTTAAACGCATTCCTTGCATTTAATGTTTTGCATGGTTTGGTCTTAACTATATGGTATTAAATTAGATCTAATATTTGTTTAATTTAATCCATCAAATCTGACCGCGATCGAATCTTCTAAATTTAATAAATTATTAAGTTAGGTCTTAGAAAAAGGTATCAATGAACACAATTTTGACCATAGAAAGATTGCTCGGATCATCAGAATCATCAGATTAAATGATAGGAAAAGGGTTTTAGTCAGTATGTTGAGGATATCATTTTACGAATCTCTCAGCCATTTTTAATAATTATGAAAAACTGACGGACATTTATAATTAAACGACGACATTTGTGGTATACCGATTTTCGACAAAATCGAATATTTTTTTCGTCATAGCTCAAAAATAATTGTAAAAACTTGAAATTTGTACTGAATATTTTTTTTACCATTAGTCATCAATGGTATAATTTTTAAAATATTTTTATTGTTTTATTTTTTTTAACTATTAGCGTACTGCACGAATATTATCTGGATCTGCAATAAAATAAATTTTCGGAAATTTGTGATCATTGGGTGGAAGTAGAAGCAAGCTCCCAGCTAAGTGGTGCACTTGCCTCTGAATTTTAAATGTAAGCATAAGACCACGCTCAACGACTTGCTTACTCTTGAAAGAGGTAATTTAAAATGCGTTGTTATAACGACGTATATTTCGCATGAATTTTTTTGATTCCGGATGATCATCCATAAGGTGAGAGTGAAATGGTTTAGGTAGAGGAAGAATTTCTTGTAATTTTACTTTTCCTTGTAAGTAACACATGCATTTCAATTCGTCCTTGAATTTCAATACCAAGCAATGTTCACACATTACTGACATGGTACCTATTAAAACTATAAGATCGTCCTTGTAAGGAAACGAAAGATAGTAATTCGTGGCAGAATTTTCTTTGTTTATCCATGAATTAGTTACTCTCTCGGATCTGTGGCTGTTCGATTGTCCGTTTTGTTCGGTGATATTATGTGTCTAAGTGGACGATTCTCTGGCTCTCTGTATTCGATATCCATCCCGATCCTGGCTACGGTGAGCCTCACGTTCTAATGAGCATTCTCTTTCTCCCTCAGCTCAATATCTATCCCGAAGCTGACTGAGGCGAGCCTCACTTTCCATTGACGATTTTTCATCCCTTGCTAAACGTGCTCTTTTGGCATTCACTGTACTATTATAGCACTACTATAACCTATGTTCAAAAATTACAGACATGAATTTATTATTCCTATACAAAATTTACTTACTTCAGTAAATTATGGTTTTAATCTAATCTTATTATCATGGTAACACACCACACACACAAGTTAAATTAAATAATAATATAAATATAAAAATAATAATAATACAGTCTTTAGTCTTCTCTATTTTTTTATACAAAAAAAAAAAAACTTTCTCTCGAATAATTCAATAAATTAAAAAAACCTGTATTAAAATCCGTTGCGTAATTTTAAATATCTAAGCATACATAGGGACAGACGCGGGAAGCGACTTTTTTTTTTTTTTTTAAATGTTAATTTGAAAAGATGTTCAGAAAATTGAGTTCAACATTCTTACTACTTACTTCTTATTGAAAAACACTAAGTTTTATCTAAGAAAAAAAGACGGTAAGATGGTTTGAGTATTTAGTAAGACTCGACTGAAATCAAGAAAATCCATAACATTCAACTAGTTAAAAATGCATATTGTTTTTAATTTTTAAACTTTATGCTTAAAAATTAGATATCAGATTTTTTATTAAAGTTTCTTTGTAGCAAAAAAAAGTGCATAAATATTTTATAACTATTTCGAAATCAGATATTTCAAAAATTTTCCATTCAATTACATTAGTTATTTATTTAAAGTAATTTCATAGTTTCGAAATATTTTTGTTAAAGTTAGAACATAATTTAGCTCTGCTACTTTATCAACTATATTTAAAATATAAACTGATCCACGCGACCTCTTTAGAATAATATTTTTTTTTTATTTTTTTTGGGAAGCAATGTTATATAGGTAATCTAATAACCGTACAATATTAATATATATAACACCACAGCGCCATTTACTGTAAAATAGTATAATATATTTGAACAAAAGATATTCTGTTCCTCAAGTGAAATGACCTATTTATTTACGATCTAAATTTTGTCTGTACATAAAATAAAACTTAACTCAAAAATTCTCCTAATGCTTGTTAGGTAACACGTTGCATTATATGAGCGTATACACCATGTATCTACAATGAGACACGCCAGCTTTTACGTGCATTAGTTTTGTCACGTGCTGTTGCAATAAAATATGTGCGTTTTTTTTTTTTAACACATGTCACCGATACTTAACTGTTTTTAGAATAAATACTTTGGTCACAACAAAGCGTCAGAAATGTATCTTCTTAGTGTCTTCGGATGTACAATTAAACAAGTGTTTAGATGTATATAAGAGTACAATATTATGATAATTGTCTAACACGTATAAAATATTATCGTATATAAATCGTATAAAATTAATATTGTATTAATGTAGTAAATAAATACGAAGCGTTGTTACAAAGATTCTAAGACGATTAGTGATATTTTATGTTAATGTATTCAGTTAAAGTCAAAAACACTACAAATTAAAATGGAATAGCGTTTGACGAAATCATACTATAGTGTTTTAACCACTAAAAAAGTCTTGAGTCTAAGAGTTAAGATTTAATAGAAAATGTGTTAAAAAAATATTGAAGTTTTTGTGAAGTATTTACATATACAGTAGAGCCTCGATAGTCCGGAAGAATTCAGACCGAGCATCGTCCGGATTACCGATTTTTCCGGATTACCGGAGGTTTCTTAAGATTACCTATTCAAATGACTAAGATTGTATTTTTAATTTTACCATCTTTATAATTATTGCATATTAAATTATAAGAATAATAAACAAATTAAATGCCATGGTAAGCCCATTCCTGTGCTTGAGAATCAGACATTTTATTCGTACATGTTTCCTGTATCTGGTTCATGAGTGTAGAAATTTGAATGCCATTAATTTCAACAACTTCGTCGATTTTATTTTCTGTTTGGAAAGGAAGCAAGTGTTTCCACGATTTCTTTATGAGCATTTGCGGAACCAATTTCCAACAATTTGCAAGACTAAAAACTGCGTCTTTTAAATTTATGGCCTTTAGAGCATCAATAAGATTTTTACCATGCACCGGATCAGCAAGAACATTGACTAAGAGAGACTTACGATAGTTTAATTTAATATTCTGAATTACATTTTGATCCATCGGTTGAATAAGCGCTGTAGTATTAGGGGGTAAAAACATTGCTAAAATGTTGCAATCATCACTACGTAATTCTTCTGCTGATGGATGTCCAGGGAAATTATCCAACAATAATAAAGCTTTTGGAGGTAAATTTACATTTAAAAGGTGCTCACGAACTACAGGAACAAATCGTTTTTGAAACCAGTCTAAAAATAAAACACGAGTGGCCTAAGCATTTTTTTGTCCACGATAGTAAACGGGAAGGTTAACTGATTTAAACGCACGTGATTTTTATGCAGTCCCAATGACGAGTAAAGGCAATTTATGTGTTCCACTTGCATTAGCACAAGGCATGAATGTTATTCTAGCTTTAATCATTTTTCTTCCAGGGGCGTTTTTCTCATGACTTGATGTCAATTTATGCTCTGGTAACATTCGCCAGAATAAACCGGATTCATCAGCGTTATAAATTTGTTCTAGGTCCAAATTGTTTTCATTTATGACTCGCTGTAACTCATTTCGAAATGGTTCGATTGATGCTTCGTCACATAAAAGTTTCTCACCCGTTATTTTAAGGCGCCTAATACCATGACGATGTTTAAAATTGTCTAGCCAACCTCTACTAGCAGTGAAACCATCTTCCTGCTTTATTATTTCACGGTAAAATAAACGTGCTTTTTCGCAAATTATTTCACCACTCATCGGAATATGTCGTCTCCGCTGTTGCATAAACCATATAAATAAAGAATTTTCGAGAACAAGATTTTCCGGTTCTTTTAAAGTTTTACGTGTGTCTGGACAATGTTCAGTTGTGCTGACAAACTTCATAATTTTCTCTTTATTTTTTTTTTATGTCACCAACAGAGTCGATTTACCTATTCCGTACTTCTTAGCAATCATACCATAGTTCTGGCCATTTTCCATTAGCTTAATTATTTCAATTTTTTGATCTAAAGTCAAAGTTACGTGTTTACGAGGATGTATTTATGAATTATTAGTCGTTCTATATAAATAGTTATTTTTAAACCTCATTCTAATGCATAGCACTGTATGTTGATAACGCAAAGAAAAACAAAATGAGAAGTAAAATCGGTGGATTATTTATCTAAATAAAAGGTTTATGGGTGGTGACCAGTGACTGTACCAATCATTTATAATAATAATATGTAACATGTATATTGTATATATATATATATATATGGATATCAGATATTCAGTGTATTATCAAAATCATTGACGGCTGTTGTCGAGTTTTTAGAATGCATTTATTTATATTGAACTCAACATGTATATAGACTTAAACACTCACATGCATAATTTCAAAACACTTTCTTTGTTTATCTGATATCCTGTACTGTAATCGTGGACTCGCACAGATACGAATAACGTGAAACAAACTCATTAAGGACGAAACCGTAATATTTATATTTTTCATATTATTGCACCGAAAGCGACATCTATCAATACCAACCAATATCCGTCAGTTTTACGGCAAATGTAACGTTCGAATTTAGTCGAAGAAAGATTTTGGTTTGCTGACCTCCGAGCGACTGCGAGTCGAGCGGCCACGTAAATATTATCATTAATCACCAAGCTCAATCGGGTGTAGATTCGGTTGTTTATGGTATTTAACATTTTTACCGTGGTATAATAGTACTGAAAGTAAATGTGGAACTTCCGGCAGATAACTGCCAGGGACCTCAGCGCATAACGACTGCATCTGGCTACACAAATAAAAAAATACGTATTATTTGTATTGTTTAGAGCGACTTGACGCCATTCGACCGACAACGACGTGCTCGTGAAAGGCTAATAAATGCACGTTGTAACATTTAGTAGTAATTTAATGTCGGTGGATGGGAAAGTCGATGGAAACGGATAAATGAATACCATAAAATTGAAAGAGAAGAAAACATTAGTGATTTTTCAGTAGAACGAACGAAAAACCATTTTTTAGTAAGATGTGGAAAAAAAAATTAGCTTTTCCTTCGCAAATTAATGTCTCCCTCATTATTGTTCTTTTGTGTTTGCATATACATACACACGCAAATAGATTTAATGATCGTTTAATTATCGTTTACAGAATGAACGGTAGCAGTGGCAGCGTTGGCAGCGGAAGGCAAAGAAGGAGACAGAAAAAGGAGAAAACGTAGTGGCCGAGTAGTCAGTGGCGGCGGTGGTGATGGTGGTGGTGACGATAACGTCATGATTGATGGACTCGTGAACGCGTGGAGATACAAACGTTAAAAAATAGAAGGAAAGGAAGGAAACGCCGGAAGAATACAAAAAGAAAAAAAAGCCGGTCCGAGGGAAAAGGATCGAGATCGCCGAGGATCCGGTCGTCCTGCGACGCAGCGAACGCGTGACGTAACGTAACAGACGTCGTTCTCCGATCGACTTCGACCACGGTCGATCGAGAATGGCCAACGGAAGCGGCGGCGGCGGTGGCGGCATCGTAGGCGGAGGTGGAGGCGGAGGCGGTGGCGGGTACGAGGCGCTGCAGAACGTCGCGCCCAACGTGTTCCCGCCCATATACATACCGGCCGGCGGAGGGAACGGGACGCGCGAGTCCAACTTCACCGCGGAGGCCATCGAGCGCGAGTACGTGGAGGACTACGTGTTCCAGGCCGCGTTCTCGTTCGTCTACCTGCTCATATTCACGCTGGGCGTGTTCGGCAACGTGCTCGTCGTCTACGTGGTATGGGCCAACAAGCACATGCGCACCGTCACCAACATATTCATCGTCAACCTGGCCGTGTCCGACATCATGCTCTGCGGCCTGGCCGTGCCGTTCACGCCTCTCTACACGTTCACCGGTAACGTTCGCCGTTTGATTATCCCACCACCGTCTTAAGGTGCCCGTGACGGTCAGTCGTGAACGTCAATGTTTTATGACCGTCCATGTCGACGAACGTCAATCTTTTTCCGTGACTTTCAAACGTGTTTGATTTTTCTCCATCAATCGGAGTGATTGGCAATCATTAAAGACCGTGCGCGGTAACACTTGATAAGCGTTGCCGTTCAAAATATCATAATATTATTATCAAACCTGTACTCATAAAAATAGTATTTTCTATCTCGATTTTCGATTTTTAGGTATATATATATACTATACATATGATTATATTATAAATAGAACACAGTCATACGCTATGATATGTATAAGTCTAGAAATTATAATAAACCTTCGGCGGTTAAAAAATTATGAAAAATTATCAAACGGTTGCCATTCATGACTGACCGTATTTGAGTCCCTTTAGCTTTAAACGCACGTTGATCGGAAATCGGTCGTCGTAAATGTGACGGTAACTGCAGGAATCTTAAGTGTACAACAGCCGAGTAGATTTTTTTCAAAAACACTCGGTCGAATGAAAATAACGTTTTCTGTTCAGTACACGGACAACACTAGTTATATCGTCGAGGACTGTGTAGGACTAATATTCACACAGTTCAAAACGAATGATTTTTTTTTTTCGACCGTTGGTGATCGTAGAGCTGTCCAAACGTTCGGCACATGTAATCAAGGACTGAGACCTTAATGATTTTAACGGATTAGGTAAGGGTTCGGGTTTTTAAAATATTTTTTTAGGGGTTTAGATTAATTTTGGGATTTTAAGAGTTTTAAAATTTAGGTTTCGGTTTCAACCAGTTTCTAACCTTTATTTTTGTACATTATTTTTTTCAAACTAGAAATTTGAATACAAGAATATATATTGTATACTATTGTTTAGTATTTGCAGTATGTTACACTTATTTAGATACAAAATACTAAGAAAGTTTATGTTGAAACCCCATGAGAACCTGTTTTATTATTAAAAATTATTACACATTTTACACTTTTACAGTTAATAATAATTTATGGTTGCATTTTAACAAAATCCTTCAATTAGTATAATTAACAAATACTGCTAAAATACTAGTTTCAATTTATAAAAAAATAGTACAAGTTTCAATGATATCAGTTTTGCTTTGGTATAGGCTTCAGTACGAATTTCCTTTTATATGGCTAATGATTCTGCATGTACATACTTCCTATGAATTTTGAATATTTATTTATAAAACATTTTCAGAAATTGATGTAAAACATTTTCTTACTTTTTAGTATTTGAATAGTGCTTTGATAATAGATGTGTTAATCTGGGAAGATTTTTTTATTTCTGTATCCTTAACCAACATCTCTTCATATATATATCCTGGTGGAAACTCAGATGCCTTTTCAAATTTATTTCATGATTTCCCTTTTAAAATTATAGGTACATATTTATAAATATTTATATATATCCGATTACCTAGCTATATCAATTAGATTTTCGAAATATAAATATTTAAGGAATACAATATACATACTAAATTATTCAAAATAAATATTATTTAAACTTTTCATAAGTAATCTGCTACAAAGCTACACGTACAGATGAAGAGCAATTATTGGTGAAATCATAGGTACTATTTTTTTATTTTGTAGAATATCACATAATATTCACATTGGGTATTTTTAACATAATAGCGAGTAGGACCTGAATAAATTACTCAAGACTGCACTATTATAATTGATAGTATAGGTATTAACTATAAACTATAAAGATAATGTCGTCTTGTCTATTTACTTGTTACATTTCTTTCGATTTCAATAGGAACTTGAAAAAAGTAAAAACCCTTAAAAAAAAAACCTGTATTCTTTTGGTATTTTTTATAGGTTTCGGTATTGGTGAAGGTCTATTAAAAATATAAAATGCAAAAATATAAAAACGGTTATTTTCGGTTCTTTAATTTGCACTTGATTTTAGGTTCCCTAACCGATTCTTTTCGGTCCGGTCTCAGTCCCTGCATGTAATCCGAAATGGTCGTCGAGCACAACCGGTCGTTCATAGACTGCCCTACGAGGACTTCCTTTCCAATTGCACACTGTTGTTCAGCGAAATTTCATCATGGTTCTATAATGTTCGAGTTTCGGTAGATTACACATTCACAACGTTTAATGATTTCATGACGAAAATCCAAATCGTTATAATTGCTTTTATGTGCTCCATTGGTCGGGATTATATTTGGAGCCAAACGTATACATATTGTAATCAAACTTCACTATATAATACTATATATTATTTATGATCTAGCATATGAATCTTAATTGGTTCTCATATGATATTTATGAGACTCAGTGCACCACTGGTGTTAGAAAATATCTATGGCGTCTGAAATTGATAATATGACATTAATTATTAGACAATGCCTGGGGGACCATCATAAATTGTAAATTATTTTTGAATGATTTAAACGTCCAACTTATTTTTCTTTCATGGACCTAGAATCACCTGAAAACCGTTCTTCTTGTTTTGCTATATTCTCTCCCTTCACATACCCGTGATTGTACCGTTCGCTGATTTTTCAAGGCGCAGAAGAGTAGTAATAAGTATGAGCTATTTACTTCTTTCTAGATGCGAATTTCAAGCACTAGGCATGTTTCACAATAAAATTAAAAAACAAATATAGGATAATTCTAGTGAAGTGAGCAATTTTAATAGTTTTATGACATTGTTTTTTTTTTTTTTTATACTTCTGCGTTTCAGTACAATTTTTCCTAAAGTTTTATATAATGACTTTTTAGATCATAAATCGAACGCGGATTCTCTAGATAATTCGTTTTCCGATTCTCTCATACAATTTTCTTAAACAGAAAGAAAACTTTTAACATTTTTTTTTCTTTCAAGGCAGCGGCTGTGTTTTTTTTTATATTCTATTGATAAAATAAGCCTAATTTCAGTTTAAAAACGGAAATACAATGTTAGATAGTCTATGTCATTAATACTGCTCAAATGCCGGAGATTTGACTTATTTAACCTATATTCACAAGTTAAAAGTTAGTTTAAACCTTAAATTAATTATGTTTTTTTTCATAAATTGTAAAAAAATATTAATTCTTTACATATTTTATAAAATATCTAATTATATTTAGTGTGAAATCTTATAATTATTGGGCTACTAATTTATAAACAATTAATTTTTCATACTTTCATAAAATTAATAAATATAAATGAATGTCAAAAAAAAAAATAAATATCAACTCTGAATAAGTTATATAAATAAAATATGATGATAATCCATAGTTTATTTATTGCGAAATAAATCTAATCCATCCGTGGACAATCAATGAAAAAATTATTATTTTATAATACTTGTATAATAATGTCTATACACGTATACACGTTGATTAATTTATTTAATATATAGGTATATGAGTGTGAGTTAAGGATAGCTATTGCATATATGGGGGTGTGTGGAAATCGTTAGAAATGTGGTAGAATGTGTAAAGTGGAAGAACACTAAATCAATGTTTATTGGCGAAAAACGAGGACATTTTTATATAACGAGGAAAGAGATACAGCTTATGTGATTGTATATAGTAATAATTACTATAATATATTTGTAGAAAAAATCATTCAGGCTCCCGACCATTAAATGCACTTCGTCAGGATATTAAAAATATAAATAATATGGTTTAGGGGATTACTCGTATACTCTTATTAACTTTTGACGAAATTAAACAACAGAAGTCTAATGTTGAATCCTCGATTCTCTTCCTTTCTTGATATAACAATTTCAATAATACATCGACAATATTGATCCGATTATTATACCTACTTTCGCGTCATGTTTGAAAAACTTATCACTATACTGCCGACCTGCAAACATTATATAATATTCGACTCTTTTTTTCAGTTTGACCGTATTTGAATACGCATATTTTTTGTGTAAAGTACGTATAGCGTAATCCTGGTGACATGCATGTTAATATATAACATCATACACGTAGTGGAATTCGTCAAAATGCTACACACGACTGCACTATGCTGTCCCTACTGCAAAAATAATTTGAAGTGTTATGGTAAAATTATTTCAGATAAATTAAAAGTTCTTCAATAGTTATTTCATAATAATAATTATTATTATTATAAGTATATATAATAGTCGTTACTTCTTACAAAAAAAATGAACCGATTTGCTCTGTTGCAAAACGTTTAAATTTTAATATACAACTATGCTTATTGTATAATAGTAATAAAATGTATGGAGATTTTAACGCGTCAATCTACATTTGTAAAATTTTTAAACGCTTTACACAAAATTCGTACTTTTATTACAGATATTTTCATTTTTTTATCTTGTCGTAACATATAGGACAGCATTAATATCTACACTAAATTATTATTATAATAATATAATAACGTCTTATATGCATACTGTGATAATGTAACTATCCATCTTTTTTAATTGCACATGTGCCTGTCAGTTGGCGATATTTACATCATAATATGATCCATTCTGATATTATTTTGATTAGCTTTTTCTTCGTACCCTCGACTTTCTTGATAAAGTTTTCAAAACATATGTGTGCAACTATTATCAAAGTAAAAATATTTTGTGATAAATTCATAATCCGACATTGAGCTCGTAATGCAATTAGAACAACACAACTACTACGTTGAATTTGAAAAACTAAAGTATTTCAACAGCAACATAATTAATACATAAGTATACGCCGAAAATTTGTATAAAATAAAGTCATAATAAATAGATATAATCGTTGTAGTATGTATGCTACTAAAACGAGTATAAACATTGTTCACAAGAGTTTAAATATATTTTATGTGAACTTCTGTTAACCATTTTAATGTAAAAACCATCCCGGTCTAGAATTATAATTCAGTATTATATGTTTAAAATCGCTAATTCATTATAACATCGACCTATTCTATTTGAAATTTTATTAATGAATGTATTTGCAATATTAATTTTACAACAGTAATGTTTGGTTACA